CGGACAAAAGAGAGCCTCCAGGTCACCGCGCGCCGCGGGTCGATGGACGGCCGGTGGCCGTCCACAGACGGCCGCAGCCCGCCTCGCGCTACATCCGGAATCTCGCGCAATCTCGCGCAATCTCGGGCAATCCCGCGCGTTAGGCTTCGAGCCCGCCGCTCGCACACTCATCAGCGCGGCGCACTCCCTCGGCAACCGGCTGAGCCGAGATGGTCCTAGATGGCCCGATATGGCCCGAGATGGCCCGATATGGCTCGAGATGACCCGAGATTCGCCGCGGTGAGACCGAACCGGCAATCAGCGGACCTCCTTGCCCTGAGTCCTGTGCGTTCCTGAGTGCGCCGCAGGCAACAGACTGCTCTCGCTGCTCGAGCCGGCCGCCTGCCCGCACTTGCCCGAGGAGTGGAGCCTTCGCGGAACGTCCTCAACAGCCTCGCCGTAGGTGGCCTGCCCGCACCTGCCCGCCGGCACGCTCGCGGGGGCGCGCTCTGGTCGGAGGAGCTGGCGCGCACTACGACGGACTTCTGAGGCATGAGTCCCTTTGAGTTAGGCGCACACGCTCTGGGCGGAGGATGGGCAGTGCACGCTGCGGCTGCTGCACTACCCGCCGGTGGACGTGTCGAGTGTGCCAGAGGACTACTGGCGCGCCGGCCCGCACACAGACCGGGACCGATGTATATCTTTTTTTATGCACTTGTGCCTTGTGTTTCTTTTTTCATAGGCGCGCCGGCCCGCACACGGACTGGTGCCGCTGTATTTCTTTTTTATCGACCTGTCTTTCTTTTTTATAGGCGCGCCGGCCCGCACACGGACTGGTGCAACCTTACCCTCCTCTTCCAGCGCCCCGGCAACGCCGGCCTCGAGAGATCACTAGCTCCACGATTGACGAGATGATCAGTCGGTGTCCTCTTGTGGCATAGGCAATGCTGGCCTCGAGTGCGCCGCCAACCCGCGCGCGGGCGGCGCGGGCTGGCTCAAGGTGGGCCGGCGTGAGTACGAGAATGGAGATACCAGTCACTGTTCTACAGTATTGAGAACGGCGTCTCTTCGCCCCTCTGCCGCCGCTGTGAACAGGTGGACCCGGTCGAGGGTGGCATCGCCGTCAACATCGGCGACATGCTCTCGCGCTGGTCCAACGATAGCCTCCTCTCCAATCTTCACCGCGTCCGCATGCCCACGCCGGAAGAGGCGCGGCCGCCGCGGCCGCGCTACTCGATGGCGTTCTTCATGCAGGCCGGCTCCTCATCATTCCGTAGTGCCTCCTGCGTCTTGACCAACCCATCCCCGTCCTTTGTCAACCCTCTTCGTGCAGGCCGACAAGCACGTGCTCATCGAGTCGCGCCACGGCGCGATCACCGCCGGAGATTACATCCTGGGCCGCATCCGATCCAACTTCGACAAGAAGGGGTGAGAAGAAGGGGCGAGCGGCAGAGGTCGCCCGCCAGCCCCCAGTCGGCAGTCCGCCCTGTGCGTGCGTCGTTGCAAAGGTTAGATGTCTTATGTGTATGTGTGGTGTGGGTTTTGGCGTGGGTCTGGGTGCCGCGCGCTCTCCCCAGCCCACCTGGCTGTGTGACCTGTGGCCGACTACATGGTGAGCCATACGGACCTTGGGCTAGTTCCATTTCACTGTGGCACAGCTCGCGTTACAAAACCTTGATTTGACCATTTGCGCCATTTGGTAACCTAGATCGGTGCCGTTCC